GGGACGATACTAAGTAACGGTTTTATTGAAAGGGGCGATACTACGCTGAAGGGGGCGACAATTCGTTAGAGGTTGAGAAACACTGGCCTAACCGAACCATCTCTAGCCGAGTACAGTGGGGACTGATTTCTTCGTATTATTAATGTAATAAAGACAGAAATTTCTCCAGTTCAACGAGAGTGACCGAAAAGTTGGAAATTTTAAAAATTTCTGAGGACACTTGGCCTTAAACGAATTAGTTAGAAAACAAATGACAATTAAGTTTAACATATTTAGATTTTTACAGCTATGGTGAGAAACGTTTAAAATCGACAACAGACCTGTCGCGTCGTTTGAGATATACTAGTGATGCGACAAAAGAGGTATTTGACATTGACCGGTATCTGCATCCTGGGAATTTGGCAGTCTGTGTATGCACGCTCCGCAACCGTCTTCGATTCCATCCATTAGCCACTGGAAGGGAGCTATTTGACTAACTTGTAAGTGCATTGTTTTAAGATTTAAAAAAGTAAAGAATATTTTATATTTTTATGATTATTTTTATTTTTATAATTTTCTTTAAAAGTATATTCATACAAGTGAAGAATATTTTGTACCAGGTACGTACCGGTACATCCACCATACATTTTATTTCACCAAGTAAGTTTTTATTATTTTATTTTTAATAGCCCTTATATCGTGGCTAGCGATTCGGAATGTAATTGTGATATATTCGTTCAATTGAATAATATTTTGTACCAGGTATGTACCGGTACATCCACCATACATTTTATTTCACGAAGTAAGTTTTTATAATTTTATTTTTAATAGCCCTTATATCGTGGCTAGCGATTCGGAATGTAATTGTGATATTAAAAATGCATTTAGAGAAGTCTACGGTTTTTACTGGTTTATCGAATAAACGATACGAATGGACTCTAGATCATCACTGACGCGCAATTAATTAAAAATACTGTATCTTTTAATGTTCCAATAAAAAAATTATTTTAATAATACTGAAAATAGATAAATCAGTTAACTTACCCTTTTAAATCACTTTTTTTAACATAAAGTAAGTTAAAAAAACGTTAGCAAAATAATAAGTGGGAATAAGGTAAGGGAAATATTAATATCAGATAAAAAAAACTTAAGATATTATTTTAAAATATATAATACATAGTTCAGTATTTAAGATGTCTACTCGAACTTATTTTATTAATAGGACTTATTATACCGACGACTTGGTTCAGCAAATTTAAGAAAACTTCTCAGAAAAGAAACAGTCGTTTAGTTTTCACCTGTACACATTTTACACGATAATACAAAATTACATTAAATAACATATTTATTTGATTTTTAAAAGACTTCAAAAAATCAAATTACAGACAGCATAAATTCTATGATATTTCCAACTGTAAGTTATTTAATGTAATTTTGTATTATCGGTTTTTATAAATTTGTAGTGATTTTTAATGATTTGTTTTAGAAAATGTTGGCTCTAAACCTGCTGATGAGGGACGAACTAGTCCGAAACACGATATCGTGTAAAATGGTCAAAAATAAAGACTGTTTTTTCTCAGAAGTTTTCTTAAATTTGCTGAACCAAATCGTCGGTATAATAAATCTAATTAATAATATAAGTCAGAGTAGACATCTTAAATACTAAATTATATGATAAGGGCACAAAAACATATAATTTAATACAATACATGTGTATAGTTAATTACTCGTTTTTCTTTAAAAATTTCTTATTTATTGTCAAATCGTCACAACGCCGGGTTGCCATTTTTAATCATACTTTAAATTAAATAAATTAAAAACTATCTTCAAATTAGTAGTCTCTTGCCCCTGACCATTATACTTTTCCTGCTAACGATAGATTTATGCCGGTCATCTATCCAACTTCTTTCACCGAAAATATTTGAAATAAAATAACCTGACTTCCGGTTGAACCAGAGGTCTGCATATAGTTAATCGGGACTTCCTGCTCATACTCTTTTCACATCTGGTCTGTGCATTCATTTATCTAACTTCGTTCTCGAGAACAAGGAAAAACAGACGAACCGACGACAGTAGAAATTTATAGGTCTACAATTTTTTCCAATTGCGGCCCAAAAATACAATGTTGGTAGATGACAAATGTAGTGACGTCACATATCAAAATTAAAGAACAGTGTTACGCAATGCAAGATGATTGCGACTGTAAGTGTTGTAAAGTTACTAAGAAAAAATCAAAACTGTCGCAAACTACACTTATGTAGGTTTATTTGTTCTCTAAATTTTACATATTTTAATAACTAAATTTCAAAAAAAGTTTTATTATCTGTACACTGAGAGGGATCGGTACAAACTCAGATGAAAATAGGAATCTGTCAATTCAAATTGTCTTCTGTGTGGTTCTTGATCTCTGGTGAACGTCGAATTGGAAGGACATAACAAATTTATTTGCCTACAAACTCCTTTCTGGTGGTTACAAAAATAAGAGATTTTATCAGACGAATATTGCTGATATTAAACTTTAAACTTCTTATATTCATTATCATAAATTTGAATAAATATTTTTCTTAAAGTAAATAATAATCAAAATTGCGAACTTTGGTCTTTATCTACTTTACATGTATAAACTATATATTAAGTTATATAACACAGATTAATTGCTAAATGTGGTAACAAATCAACTTTTATTCTGTTTCGATACATCAGAAACACAGAATTTAATCATGTTTGAAGCCATAGAACAAAGTTGCATTTTGGCTTATTTTGGAATATTCTGTACAATTCTCTTTGTCTTAACGGTAATATGGAAGTTTGTCAACGTGTTAAGAGTACATCTCTTCTCTCTATGCACTTCGGATCTGAAGGAATTCGGACCGTGGGCCGTGGTCACGGGAGGAAGTTCGGGAATAGGAAGAGGCTACGCTAACGAACTGGCCAAACGAGGTTTACACATTGTAATCGTAAGCAACGAATTGCAGGCTCTGAAGGCTACCGCTGAAGAAATTACAAGTCAATACGGAGTAGAATGCCGCTACTTTCACGTCGATCTCAGCCACGATAATGCCTACGAACAAGTCTTCAGCAGACTGAACGATACGGATATTGGTATTTTAATCAACTGTGCCGGTGTTCTGGGTGACTTTCCGTGTCGTTTACTAGACCTGACTGATGAGGATGTGAATTTGTTGTTACAATTATACATTAAAGCGGTGGTTCACACGACGCGATTGTTTTTACCTTCGATGTCGTCCAGAAGAAGAGCCGCCTTCGTTACTGTTTCGTCAGCGGGCTCCGTATTACCTTTGCCATTTTTAAGCGTGTATTCGGCGTGTAAAGCGTTTTCCGATCGTTTCACTCGAGCATTGTCTTACGAATATAAATGGAAAAATGTGAGTTTTCAATCTGTTACTCCTTTTGGGGTTTTGACTAGAATGGCTGAGAAAGGCAGTAGAAGTTTTACAGATTTCGAATTGATGAAAAGTATGTGTCTAGATAGAGATAAATTTGTCAGAAATGCTGTAAGAACAATAAATCTTACGGATTATACAAGCGGTAATTGGTTTTGCGACATCGTTTGGTATGCCGCATTCAAAATTGTCAATATTTTCTGGGCATATTTTGTAGTTATAGTGGCACATTTGTTTAAAAAGTCTTTATAAAATATATATATAATAATTAAACAAATTATTCCTAATCAATTTTTACGGAATATTTATCATTTGAATTTTAATCGTGGACCAAACTTTGATAGTTTATAGTCTATAAACAGAAAATATAATGATAACGAGCAATTATTTATTGCGATATCGTCACAATGCCAGGTTCTCATTTTAAATAATTTTTTAATTTAAAATATATGCTCTCCACCTGAAATTAGTAGTGTCTTGCTCCTGTAAATAATGCTTTTTCTTTAACAATAGAGTCGTGCCAATCATCTAACACCTTTTGGGAAAATTTTTGAATTGAAATAACGTGATTTTAGGTTTTCATCGGCAGTTCATATAGAGTTAATCGGGGCCTCCTACCCCTAAGTCTTCATCTAACTAAATCCGTTCTCGAGATTAAGGAAAGAAATTTCCTTAGTCTCGACTGTGGAAATTTATAGGTCTACAATTTGTTCAAACTGCAGCCCAATTACAGAAAAATGCCTAGTGCTGTAGCGATATTTTTTTATGTACAAAATCAAAAGTAAAGAAAGTCTCTCTCGTTCAGTATCGAATTGGTCTCTTATTGAGCTGCAATTTGAAAAACTGTAGATCTATAAATTTCCACTGTAATGGGTCTATTCGTCCGTCCGTTTGCCTGTCTTTCCTTAATATCGAGAACGGAGTTAGATAAATAAATTCCGAGACCAGATATGAAAAACATAGGGGCAGGAGGCCACGACTAACTGTATATAAATTTCCGATAAAAACCGGAAGTCATGTAATTTTAATTAAAATATATCCATCTGAAAGGTGGTAGATCGATGACCAGCAAGACTAGTGCTAAAGGGAAAGTTTGATGTACTGTACATGAACATGCCACTATTAATTTTAGGTGGACAACATATATTTTAAATTTAATTAATTAAAAATGTGATTAAAAATTGCAGCCCGGCATTGTGACGATGTTACAATAAATAATTGCTCGTCAATTATAACTTTGAATTTTTTAATCTTTCTTGCTTTTTCTTATTCTTATAACTTATTGTTATTTGTTTAATGTCACGTGTTCGATATAATGCAATTTAATGATATAATGCTACAGTCATTTGTTGACATTAAATTGTTCAAATAACAATNTTTTATCTCAATTCAGTTATAAAATGTTTTGATAAAATTTTATATAGAAAATATCGCATGAAACTACACTATTTACTCTAGAAGAAAAGTAACAACAAGCTACAATTGTTACAAATAATTTTATATTCAAAATATATTAATTTTTTTTAATAAAATATACTATAAATTTACGATTGTAAATTACGTGAAAGTGTTCATTTATTATTAATAACAATCAAAAATATTATAACATTTTATTAAGCATAATTAGAATTTAATTTTTATACATAAAAATAAAAATTGTAAATAATAACATATTGGATTACATGCAATTTTTTTTTATTATTTCGTGATTTCGATGTATTTATTCGTTTCTTATATTTACTAATACAGATGTTTTTTGTCATGTAATTGAGAAAAAAACTCGGACAGAACGATAAAATATAAATTATAATTTCGTGTAACCAGTAACCAGCGTAACTCTGATTCTTTCCAATACATTTTATCCAATTTTCACAGAATTTCTTACACGACGGAATTAACATATTTTTTTTCATTTTATTTGTCATTCTAGTGTGAACAAAATATGGAAGGAGCGACTGCAAATTAATGCCTTTATCTATTAATTCCTCGTTGACCCCTTTGCTAAATACATCCATAAACCTTTTACAACTACAATAAATAGCATAATAAGAAAATGGGAATATTGAAGAGGCCGACGAAACATTAATAATAACTCCTTTATTTTTCTTCGCGTATAAGTTAGACATTCGATAAGTCATATTGACGACAGTTTCTACGTTTAAAGCTATCATTACTAGTGTGTTACTTTCGGTTTCGTCCAGAAAATAACACGGTGTTCTACCGGCAATTCCAGCGCAATTGACAAAAATTCCAACGTCTTTACCTTCGATTTTACTCCAAAGACAGTCGTATACCTCTTTTCCACCAGTCAAATCAGCCAACACGTAACAACATTCCACTCCGAATTTTGTCTCAATGTCCTTCACCGTCGCCTGCAGTTGTTCTAATTCGTTACTAATAAGGATAAGCTTCAAACCAGATTTTGCTAGCTCAATAGCTGTATGTTTTCCTATACCCGAGCATCCACCAGTGATTACAGCCCATTCTCCATATTTTTTAAGGTCTTGTTTAATAAAGTTTGGAAGTAGATAGAGCTTTATCATTCGAAAAATCTCCTTCAAAATCCATATCGTAGAGAAGGTAGCGAAAATAATACCAACAGATACCAGAAGACACTCGCTTGCACACATCGTTTATTTATTATCGTAATATGTTATGTTCTGTCAAGGCAATCTGCTTTGGTTCTGGTCATATTTCTTTACAAAACTCATATAAATTTGATTGGAAAATAAAATCACGTGTGAAAACACATTACGTTGCTAACACAGCAATCTATTTGTAAAATAGATAACACAATTTATACACAAACAAATTATTTTTGCTTAAGGAAAATCGTTTCACCTATATTATTAGAATTGTAAAATTCTTTAAAATCAATATAAAGTGTATCATAAGTGATTATTCATAATTCGTGACGTAGGACCCACTAGACCCAGGCCTATGCACTATTTTAGCGGTGAAGAAATAATATTAACAATAAAGTACCGAAAAAATAACTTTACACAGAAACAATTAAAAGCTTAGAAACAAAATAAGATATAATCGAGTCGCATTAATATATTAATATTTGCACAAATAGAGTGCAAAATACAATATTTAAAAATCTGTATTAAAAAATATTCTTAACGTAGGTCTACGGGTAATTGTCGAAAAACATCAAAGCATACAATGAATAGAAAACTATAAATTTTCAATTTGAGAGCACGTTTACTATCAAGTGCAATGCTAAGCTCCTTGAAATAACTTGAAAAATGTATTTATTTTAAATATACAGAAGATTATTTTTTGATTTTTTATTCGGATTTTCGCTTGTATATTCAGACTGTGAAATGAATGATTACGAATTACTTTCTAAAAAAACCCCTAATTAACCGTGATTCAGCATTATCCAAGGCGAATTTTCTTACACTGTAATTTATAAAAAGAAAAGTTTAAAACGATAACACACTCCGAAATGATTTCTGTTACCTTTTGTCATTTAAATTCAATGGGAAAAATACAATTCGTATTTAAATAAAATGGCGTCTAAGTAAGAACTTTTACAGGTAAGTGAGAAAGCAACAAAAAACTATGTTTAATTAAATGCCGTCCACTTAATTTGTATGCAGTAATGAATACAGTAAAAAACAAAATCTATTATCCGAGGCCGTGATGGATATGAAATACAATTCTCCTACCGGTACAGAGAAATTCATTTATAATCTACAATTAATACATAATGTTATATATAAATTAATAGTTTATTTACTGTATAGTGTAATATTTACATGCAGCACATTACCTCGCATACAGTAAGTTTCAGAAATAGAGGCTTGCATGCAAAAAATACAGTAAAATACAGTAAATCTACGCCTGAAACTGAAGTTCGACAGTTAAAAGAATGGCGGATAATCGAGTTTTACTTTACCTGTAAAGGTAATGTATTTACACAAAAAATACGCACACAGAAATTTTACAGAAAAAATACGCACACAGAAGTCCTGAATTTATTTACATAAAATTTTTCAACATATTTGCAATGACAACTTTTTATAGCAAATATTTTGCTACGTGCGATAATAATTATCACAGTAAAGTAAAATCTTAACTTTGCATAGGTACGTATTGTACCTGTAACTTACCTGTAAAAGTTCTTACTTACTTAAAGTTCACGTGACCGACCATGAAAACAGGAAGCAGAAATACACGCAGAATTTATGTTTATCACACAGTTAATATTATAGTTATGTAAACAAACACCGCATGAATAAAACAAGAACACAGATTGTATTATTAATCTAACTTACAAGTATTAAAACGGTCGTAATTATGAACAAACGATCATCTACTTCATTATAAACTTAATAGATATTATTCGTGAAATCAAAGAGATTTTTTGATTCCTCGTTACTTTTTTATTCATATGTATAACCGTTTCGTAATCTTATGTAAGTTATTTTTTAATAAATAAAATTAATGATAATTGGTGGAGTTTTTAATTCTGCTCTTATGTGACTGGAGGGTCTGCACCTCTTTAGTGTATCGTCAGGACTGAAACCACCGTGTCCCGATTGACACGGAAACCTGATGTCGTTCATCTGTTGACTGTAAATACAACTAACTATTATTATTACACGTCTTACCTGAGCCGGGACGCGATCGCCATACCTCGCTGGTAGCAGTCTACCTCCCTCCGTACCGATCCACCACGTCGCTATGTTAGAAACGCTTCAGAACTCATATTTCAGGCATGCGAGGCCGAGGAAGGCACTGCGCGTGTCGTGGCCCTCCCTCAGCCATACAGATGCAGGGGCATCTGTATGGCTGAGGGAATTATTGCGTTGACAACATCGGGCGCCAACACCACCTTCGTATCGACCCCCAGACCTAGCCGAGGTGGGGACCAGAGGCCTCACTTCGTCCTCACCTACACAATATCAGGAGGAGACGCTGTTGAAGGTGAGTATACAGTCTGTTTTCTTGGCATTTTACGTGGGCAGTTTTCTGTAGTCTTTGCCGATAAGTGTCTTAGAATATATGGCCGGCTTCCGGACTGCCTGTTAAACAGGCGATAGGGTTTGCGGAGAGAGCGAGGCCAAATTTAAACTTTTAACTCCTAACCGTTTGGACTCGGCGCTTATTGTTATCAACCCATGTCGATTACATTATAAGATTATGTAAAATATAAAAATATTAAGTAGCTATAAATGTTTTCCTCATTTAATACAATCTCTTCTAATGTAAATTTGTAATAAATAACTACGAATGTTGTTTCAAAAGTATAGCCCATTTTCAAAGATGTTTTAGTGCATATTAAAATATGTCATTTTTTTGAAAATTTGTTTTTGTAAAAAAATGACTTATCAGCAGAAAATTTTTAAAAAACGTGAAATTCTAATTACATAGTTCTACCATTGTTTCTTTGTGTAATCATCACTGTGATGTGTAAAACAAATAAATGGATATACAGTTTAGTAATTTATTGCGATCAATTCTATATGGAAGTTTACATAGCTTTAGTAGGCTATACTGCTGAATTTATTATTACAGGAATATAACAACCTTAAAAATATTTCATGACAGTACACGTACTCTTCAATAACTTACCGATTGTAGTATAAATATAATGAACAGTGTAATAAAGATTTTTGCATATGGAAAACACTCGTTAATTACGATTTTACTATTGTCGAGAAATTTAAAATTAACCTATACAGTAAACCCCTTATAACGCGGGTTCCTATAACGAAGATTCCTATAACGTGGCGAAAAAATTGCGACAGTATTCTTATAAGGACGCTAAAAGGGACTCGTGTCGCGACAGGACCAATAGTGGACGAGCAGCCGAACTACTTTTTGCTGTCCAGCGTCACGCTACAGAGAGTTTAGGCGGGTAAATTGAGTTTACTATCGTCTGTGCAGTATTATATATAAATTAGGTACTGTACATATAATTATATCTTAATTATATATAAATTAGGTACTGTACATATAATTATATCTTAATTATATATAAATTAGGTACTGTTTATATAATTATATATTAACTTAATTTATTGTAACTTTATTATAATTAAATATATATTTTTCGCCATCTAGCGTCACGCTACGGCGAGTTAGGCGACCTATCGTCTGTCCAGTACTGTAATTTTATACATTTCTTGTGAAAGAAACATTTCTTATTTAACGGCCATAAAAATTATTTATATTAAGGATGTCTCCAAAGGTCAACGAAGTTTTCGCAGAAAAATAATATCAGAAATCGCGGC